TGGCCTGGGGCAACAAAATCAATCTTCTATGTAGTATTTAATTATCAATAAATTCTCTGCAACCAGGCTTTAAAGGTCCATTTTCAGTGTAACAGCTATCATCCTATTATAATGGTGGCCAAGAAGTTCATTACCTCCCCAATGTAACCACACAGGCTGCATCAAACCACGAAAAGACCAATAATCTAAAACATTAATTTTGTTTATTTTCCAATAAAATAATCTATTTATTTTCAGCAGCTTCACTCTATTTATTTTTCCGATCTTCTATTTATTCTCCGATCTATTTAGTAAATTGTTTATGATTTGTCGTTATGTTTTCTCTTTTACTTAATTTATTTGTAATTTTAAATATTTTCTTCTATATAGAGATGGATCAGAATATCAATGATTTTGATGATGAGAGTAACAATGAGCTTGAATTATGCGTAGTGTTGCAAGTTGTAATGCAAGAACTACATGCCTTATGCGCCATAGCTTTTGTTGTCATTGAGGTTGTCTTGAAAAGGTATTTATCTGAGTATCGCCATAACCTTATTAGAGAGCCCAATCGATTGCAAAAACAAATGGACTATATTAACTGTTTAGTGAAAGAAAGTGACATAACATGTGTTAAACAACTCCGTATGGATCGGCGTGCTTTTATGACCTTGTGCAATATGGTTCATACAATAGGTGGGTTAGGGCATTCAAAATATGTCACTTTAGAAGAGAATGTGGCCTTTTTCCTCTTTATCTTGGCACAACATTTGAAAATATGAAATGTTAAGTTCAATTTCTATAGGTCTGGAGAGACTGTTAGTCGGTATTTCAATGATGTCTTAAAGGCTGTGTTGCGTCTGCAAGCCAATTTACTCATCACACCAAATCTTATAACTGAAGCAAGCACTGATCCAAGGTGGAATTGCTTCCAGGTATTGGATTTGTAAAAATTTGGTAACACTGCATTACTTTTTTTTTTCTTTTATTAAATCTTTTTTACCAAAAACAAATATCATAACTATTATAATGTCTATTGAATTGGTTTGTTTAGAACTGTCTTGGAGCACTCGATGACACCTATATTAAAGTTCGTGTACCTGTGGTTCATCAAGCAAGGTATAGAACAAGAAAAAGAGAGATTGCTACTAATGTTTTGGGAGTTTGCTCCCAAGACATGAATTTCATATATGTGTTGCTAGGGTGGGAATGTTCAGCGGCTGACTCTAGGGTTTTGAGAGATGCAATCAATCGACCCAATGACTTAAGGATCCTAAATGGTAATACAAAAGTACTTAATTTTTCTTAAATTCATGAATAAAAATTTAATCTAATGCATAACATTCCACGCACAGGTTACTATTACCTAGTGGATGCGGGGTATACGAATGTGTAAGGATTCTTAGCACCTTACCGTGGTCAGCGATACCATTTGTCTGTTTGGAGAGAAGGAGCAACGCCAAATAATTACCAAGAATATTTCAACATGAAACATGCATCAGCCATGAATATCATCGAAAGGTGTTTTGGAATGTTGAAAATGAGATAGGCTATACTTCGCAATGCATCATACTATCCCATTAGAACCCAAAATTGAATTATCACAACATGTTACTTGTTACACAACTTTATTCGACGAGAGATGGTAGTTGACCCTCTAGAGGATGATCCAGACTTAGCGGATGCCTTAGAAAATCAACCCCCAATGGGAGATGATTTTATTGAGACTGTTGAGACATCTAACGAGTGGACTGAGTGGCGGGATACATTTGCAATGCAATTGTACAACAATTGGTTGGCTAATGGAGGGGCTGGATAAAGATAGCTTTGTGTTTCTACTTTGCTTTGTTGTTAAACCATTTAAATTTGTGATGTGTCATTGCTATGTACGTTTATGAATAATTGACATTGTGGATGTTGAATTATATTTGCAATGGTTGGTATTATGATATTTATGTTTATGAGTTATTTATATTTTATGGTAATGCATATGAAATGTTCAATTATTACTGTAGGCATGGATAATGAGGTATCAAGTTCTCATAAGAAAAAGAATGACAAGGTTGATTCATTAAAACAAAGGCGAATATGGAGCCCACGTGAAGAGGACTGTCTAATTTCAGCCTTGTTGTTTATTGTGAATGATGGAATGAAAGTTGACAATTCTTTCAAGGCAGGCTATCTTATGAAATTGGAGAATAAAATGGCGGAGTTGTTACTCGGGACAAATTTATGTGGCTCTCCCCATATCGAATCAAAGATTAAAATATGGAAGAAGCAATACAATTCCGTGTCTGGTATGCTTGCTACTAGTGGGTTTGGATGGAATGATACTGAAAAAAGAATTGACGTAGAGAGTGATAGTGTATGGGGGGCATATGTTCGGGTAAAGTCATCTCCTTTTGTTATTTATGTACTATTTCATATGTGTATTTTAACCTTATGTTGAAGATATTAATTGGGATTAGTTGGTCATTGTAGAGGGACAATGATGCAAAACACCTAAGGAACAAAACTTTCCGACATTTAGATGAATGGATTCAAATATTTGGCAAAGATCGAGCTACAAAAGAGTTTGCTGAAGGCCCTGCTGATGCAGTTGAGGCTATGAATGCTGAGGAAGATGTGTTGTTGCATGGTCTTGCATATAATGACACTTTTCTGGAACAAATGGGATTAAATAGTCAGACTGGTGAAGCAATGGACTATTCGAACTCAGCAACTCAACGGCCTTCTGATAGTTCTACCAAAAAGAAAGACAAGAAAAAACCTAGAGCCAATGATGAAGTAATTGAAGGGTTGACCATGTTTGCTGACAAGTTGGTGGATGTCTTGGGAACAACCAATGATAAGCTAGAATTCATTGGAAAAAGAATGGAAAAAGAATGGGGTATTTACATAATCTTGCATCTAAACGGGCATCACTAAGCGATAAACTTATGAAGTTGCCAATTACTGTAGACGAAAAGTTAGATGCTTGTGAAATCATATCCCATGATGTCCAAAAGCTTGACATGTTCTTCAGTTTGACACATGATGATAGGCTAAGGTGGGTGATGAGGTTGCTAAGTAGGCACACTCCATAATAAACTTGTTGCATTTTATTGGAGTATTTTCTTTTTGGCTATGATTTAATATGCATGGTAGGGAATGCTTTTTGTTAAGTCTATTATAAACTTATTGATAGACTTAATTATTGCTTCTTTTGTGTACAAACACCCGTATTTTGTAAACTATAATTGGGATGCTTTTTATATATTGTTTTTGTGGTTGGCTTTATATAGTATCATTGCTTTAGACTTCGGATCATAATAGAAATTGTAAAGTGTCCTTATTAGCTCTTTTCCTTTATGGTGTTTATAATGCCACCTGATTGAATAATTGAATAATTAAAATTGTATATATTGCCTTTATGATGTTTATAATTGAATAATTGAAATTGAAATTGTATACATTTTATAGTGTTTAATTGAAATTGTATATATTGCCTTTCTGTGGTTGGCTTTGTATTGTGTTTCCAGATTTCTGGTCATGACAAAGCAAAAACATTCTGATAATAACATGACAAAGCAATATATATCACAATTTTTTTATGTAAGGGTGTTCACAAATTGTGTTTTCAGATTTTTTTGCTTTGAGGTTATCATTTGATTTTTATGATAATAAAATTGTGATTTTTATATCAAGGGTTGTGATATATATTCTTTTTATACAAAAATCTAGCTATACTAAAAATCTAGTTAGATGTTTAGTTGAACACTTGAAAAAATTGGCATGACAAGGTAGAATTAGGCATGAAGTCAAAAAATCTGTGACGCATGAAGTCAAGAACTTTGTCATGTTATTATCACAATTGCTACCTTGTCCTGATCTACTAGAATTAGGCATGAAGTCAAACAAATTTCATATTTGGTGCGTTCATGGTATTAATTATACTTAATAAAGTAAAAAAAAAATTAAAAATCTCAATTACAAATTAAAATAAATTTATGTAATATTTATTAATATTCTATTTATTTAATATTTTAAAAGTTCTAGTAAACAAATTAAATAAAATTTATAATTCAGATTTAATATTCTTATTATTTAGTAAATAATTCAAAAGGGCAAAATAGTCTTTTGAACATTTATCCTTCTCCATAATATCCCAAACAAACATGGGATTCAATAGAATAGTCCAATTCAGACCTCTAATCCCATGATTAAACAAACATAGGATACAAATCCAGTCCGACCAAATAGTCCAGGGACAATGTATCCCAGGACTAATAGTGTTACATGTTAACGTGTTGTACGCAAGCTTACTTGCCTTTTTAATTGTTGAAATCTGATTTTAGTATCATGTTATTTTCTTGTTACTCTAAGAAGAATCTGATTTTAATTGTAGTTGCTTTTATGTTAGTTACAATTATGCTCTAAAGCTATTGTGAGAAATATTAACAGTCTATACATGACTTAGAATATCTTATACTTCTCAAAATAAAAGAAAATTAATTTAGGCTAACACAATTTGTAATCTGTCTCATGCCTCATGAATTTGGTACACCACTTCCTTGAGCTAGTCAGGTCATAAAATTTCTAGTCCAATTAATGACAAAAATTAACATCATCTGTTATAACAACCCGTTTGGATTGGGCGATTTGGAAAGAAAAGGAAAAAAGAAAAATTACAATTCTCTTCATTCATATTACCCATTTGGATAGTAAAGAGGAGAGAGAAAAAAATGTTACGAAAATTTGAAAAAAAAAAAAAAAAAAAACACATTTCTCTTATAACTTTCATTTTGAATCTCTCCAAAGTAGAGAGATTGATAGAAAAAAGAAATAACAAATTACTCTTTCTTTATAACATAAAAATTGCCCACTTATGAAAACTTTCTTTGATAATATAAATGAGATAATTTCTATCTTATTTATCCAAACTCTATAAAAGCGAGACGCAACACAATCTTTTATTTTCTATTCCCAAACAAAGTGCAAGTCAGGCAATTAATTAGATTCTTCATTCATGTTACTGAACCTTAGATAACTATCTTCTTCAAGTAAATGAATTTAAACAAAGAGACTACAAAGTTGAGTCTAAAAAGATCAACTTCAAAATTTCAGTATCTCCAGCATATTTTCACATAGATTGAAAAGTAAATTTGAGTGCATTACCTGACACTGCAGCTGGGTCTTCACCACATCAAGCGGCGTAGTCAATAACGCCGCCACCGCCGCAGCCGTAGCATGAACAACCCACCGCTCATCATTCGCACTCTCCGGCGAAACCCCCATCAAACCCCTCTTCACCGCCTCATACGTGGCAAAATGCACCGCCGTGAACGGTGCATTCATCACCACCGTCGTCCAATACGAAGCATAAAATCCCATAATCCCCTCTTCTCTCAAAACCCTAACCACACAATCCAAAACCCCCTTGTAATACCCACTCCCCAATTGCAGCCTCTGCTTCACCACATCCATTGGCGTAAGCACGGCGTCGCTCGCCACCGTTGCCACCACCCCCGCCGCGGCGTGTGCGGCGGCGTTGTTCGGATTGTCACCGGAAAACGCCTTCTTGCAAAATTCGTATACGGAGAAGTAGACGGCGTGAGCAGGTCTGGCGCCGAGACCCATTGCGCCGATGCCGCGGTAGAGTCCGAAAAGGCCTTCGGATCTGAAAATCGACCCGAGGGCTTGTCGGAGCCCCGCCGATTTGATCGGGCACGAGCCGCCTAAGGCTTGCATACGGGTTTTGATGGTGTCGACCGGGAACATGGCCATATGCTCAATCGAGCCGGCGATCAAACTGGCGACCATGGACTGCCAGAAGTGGAGACCATCGTGGGTAGGGGTGTGCATAATACCGCCGAAACCGTCGAAACCGCCAAAACCGCACCGCCAAGGCAAATTCGTCATTATTTGCCAATCGAACCGCCAGTTTTTGGTAAGAAAAATGGCAAATTCTAGTGACACTTTTATCAATCCGCCGGTTTCTATTTTTCTTCCAAACCGCGCCAACCCACACCGCAATTAAATCATGTTTTATACGATTCTAAAAATTCTTTTTTACTTAAGTTTACTTGTTGTTCAATACCTTAGAATATAGTATTACATTACTGCTCGAGGGGAATTCAAGATGTCAATAATCCAAAATAAAGTTGGATTCCAATTCACTTTTCAATCTTTTTTTTTCCTGGCCATGTTGCAAACTTGCATCAGCTCACTTTTCAATCTAAATACTTTTCAACAGTAAACATTTTCAATATATTGTAAACCCTGAATGATATTAATTTTATGTATTGTATTTGATCATTGTAGCTTCCACAGATGCTTGTAATCAACTGATGGCATAGTCGTTGATATTATCATGTTGTTGCTACACTTGCTGCATTAGAAGAAAGCTTCGCAAGATGCTTAACATCACGGTATCTCTCATCTTTTTTTTAATCTTTGATTTAAGTTTTGTAATTTGAATTATATTTTTTATAAACCGCCAATCCGCCCGAACTGCCAAGGCAAATCCGCCATTATTTGCCAACCGAACTGCCAGTTTTTTATAAGAAAAATGGCAATTCTAGTGAAACTTTTATCAATCCGCCACCCGCCATACGGTTTCTATTTTTCTCTCAAACCGCACTGACCCGCACCGCGCACACCCCCAATCGTGGGTTGGAGAGGCTGTGGTTTCCGGGTGGAAATCGAGTGGGTTTGAGACCGGGTAGAGATCAGGTTTTTGGAAATTGGGGGTGGAATTGAGGGACATAGACAGTTGTTGAGGGCAGAGACGGTGAAACTAGGGTTTAAGATTGGGAAATTAGGGTTTTGTGATTGGGGTGAGTTGAATTGGGTTGTCGTTGCCATATACAAAGTAAAAGGGTAGATGAATGAAGAAGAAGGTTCTTTGATGCCTACCAGTCCTGGGCCTGGAAATAAGGTAATCTTTTTCTTCAACCAGCCTTGCTTTAAAACATAGGCTATTTTAGGGTTGGTTTGGCATTGGCTAATGGCCTGTTTTGTCTAGTTGTTAAAATAAATTATACATTATAATTTAACAGATTATAAATTATGATTTTAATGTTAAGTTGTTAATCTATTTGATATAATTGTTAGATTATAGATTTAAGTTACTGAATAGTGTTTATTAAATAAATTGTGAAATAACTTTTATATTTTGTTATTCACTACTTGTCTACATTTTCTTATAAAAAATAATACTAATAATCTATAGACTGTTTGAGTCTTTTTCTATTTTTAAAAAAATAAAAAATAAAAAAATCTAAAAGTATAACCTTAAATTAATATGTCCATAGCAGAAGTTGATAATCAGAAATAAGTGGTGAACAACTTTTTAAAATCAATTTTTTTGAGTTAAAATAAGTTGCTAGAATCAGAAATTATTTGAAATAAGTTTAACAAAACAGTCCAAAATAACTTTTTTAAAACTAGAATCTATAAGTTGACCAAAATAAATCGCACCAAACACCCCCAATATAGCCAACTTTTTTGTGTTGGGACTTTTTTAGTCTGGCTTTGTTAGCCTCGTTTGGTTTTTGTTTTGGGATTTTTTTGACTTTTGTGAGAGAAAAAATGTAATGATTATGGATAAAAAATAATATTTTGTCTCATTGACTTTTGTAGTTAATTTTGTCTTTTTGTGATTATTTAGCTCCAAAATAAATGTCAAACCAAGGCTTAATAATTTTTTAAAAGGAAAATGTGTAAAAAAAAAAAAAATAGATAGAATGATATGATAATTTATAATAATTTTTTAGTTTTTTCCCTAAAATTTTGAGTTGCCAAAAGAAATTTTCAAATTTGTTGTAATCTATTTTATTATATAAAACAAGCAATTAAAAATAAAATTTTGAAGTTTTCTCATATAATTTTATTTTTAAAAAAAACTTTGTCTGGTTTTATCTCTGCCTTTTTTTAAAAAAATCAAAATTTTTATTTTCTTATTTTTTATTTTTAATAATTTTTTAAAATATTTTATACAAAATTTTTATTTTTTAAATATATCTAATTTAGATATACCTAAAAAATATAACATTTGTTAATTTTTTTTTTTAAAATAGTAAGAAAAAGTCCCCCCTCTAAAAAAATAAAAATAAATAAAGAACTCTATTAAAATTCATTATTTATTTCTTATGAAATTTGATGAGAATCGGTGAAAATTAAGTAGTATATACATATATTTTGAAATACTACAATTACTCGTCTAAATACAAATATTAAATAAAATGACAAATATGTTGTTTTATTATTATTTATTATTCATCCAAGTATAACGATCATAAATCTCAATCAATTTTATTGACCCCTCACCTAAGTGGGAAAATCATATTCTTGTTTTTTCTTCTCTCACTAATTAACCGTACATATTTTCTTTGAAATTTAACTATTAATGTTGTGTTTGATTGGTAGATTTGGAGAGGAATTTAGAAATTAAAAAAAAAATGTGTGTAAAATTAGATAAAATATATGTATATTTTATTCTTATTTTACTTATATTTTTTCTTTCCCTTTTCAAAATTTTCAACCAAACACAGTGTAAGAGCATCTCTAACGGAGTTGCTATTCAACCTGTCAAAGCTAAAATTTGACAAGAATGGCAAAAAGAGAGTCTCTAATGGCCTGCTATTTTACTTGCCAAAGATAGCAGATGCCATATCTATTCTCAAATTTGGTAGGTTGAATAGTAGTTGCCAAACTTGCCAGATCAGCAAATATCAACAGATTTTTAGCACCAAATTCAGTTGATAAAACCAGAATTGAAACAGTAGGGAACCCAAAAAATTCATAATCAAACCCAAATATGAGAATCAAACCCAATTTTCAATTTTGTTGCCAAATTAACAAATTTCAGAATAAATTTGACAAACCCAAATTTTGTTTCACTTCATTTTTTATTTTTTTTAATCATTTATCACCAAATCAGACAATCCAAATCAGATGAATATTATCACAATAAACCAAACCAAGTCAGATAGATATTATCACAATAAACCAAACCAAAATAGGCTTTGGTTATTTGAAGATCAAAATAAAATAGATGGATGAATAAAAATAGGATGAACAAAAATTAAACCAAAAATCAAAATAAATAATTAAGAAAATTTTAGCAAACATACCAGATTGTGTTCTTTGAAGATCCTTCTGGAGATGCTTGAGTTCTTTAAAGATCCGGTTTCAAGCCATCGCAAGAATGGAGTTTCAAAAATCGCGATTACCTCAGATCCACATCAAAAATCAGAAAAATAAACAAAAAATCAAAGCATATATATATAGATGGAGATCATACCAGAGACAGAGACAGAGAGAGAAAATAAGGGGCTTTGAATGATGGAGGAGAGTGAGAGGGGTGAGAGGGAGTGTGAAAACAGCTTCATAGGTAGAGAGAAAGAGAGCGTTTCAATTATGGAAGATGAGAAAGGACTAGTTTAAGGAGAGGGAAGACAAAGAGAGGGAGAGGAAAAGTGAAAACAGAGAGAGAGAGAAGACAGAGTGAGAGAGTGAGAGGGAAGACAAAGTGAAAATAGAGAGAGAGAGAGAGAGAGAGAGAGAGAGAGAGAGGTTTCGATCATGGAGGAAAAGGAGAAGGGAGAGTGATTTGAGGAAAGGGAAGACAGAGTGAGAGGGAGAGGAAGATGGTACATATCAATCAAAGAGAGGTTGGATGATTCTAGAGAAATCATCTCAACCATTGATGTTTTATACGTGGACGGTGGAGATGGCCTCCTTCTATATAAAAAGAGTCGTTGTACTCTGTTTGGTTTTAAAAATAATAATAATAATAATAATAATAATAATAATAATAATAATAATAATAAAATATTTCAATTTTTTTTTAATTTTGTATATTTAATTTTTAATTATCACATTATCACAAATCTCCTTCTGTATATTTAATTTTTATATTATTATATTATCACAAGTCTCCTTCTGTATATTTAATTTTTTTTTTCCAAATTTTCAATTTTTTTCATTTTTTATATTTGTCTAGTTGGGAATAATATAGATATATAATTTTTTTTTACAAACAGGTAAAAAAATGTCACAAAAGACAAAATAAACAAAAATAAAATCACAAAAAACCTATATCCAAACAACACCTACAAAGTTGGAGGGAAAGTTGGTTGAGATTTGCTAAAATAGCAAACGACCATTAGAGCACCATTGCTATAATTTGGCAAAATGGCACTATTTATTGTCAAATTATAGCAATAGCAATGACATTATAACAATAATGGTTGGAGATGCTCTAAGGGTGTGTTTGATTGGATGGACTCGATAAGGGAGGATTAGAATTTCTCAGACTTGAATCTTAGGACTGTGAATCTGTAGACACCCCATTTTTGACCGTCTTCAAGACTTGGACGTCACCATTGGAACACTTGGTGATTATCCATGTTTGTGTTCGTTTGGAGTTCCCGGAGGTCTCGACTCGCGCGCCTTGCCACAGGATCTCCGAACTCGACTGTTTAGTGTCTGATTTTGCACCAAACACTTGTGCTTTGCCTTGGAAGGGCAGGGAATGCCTTGTGAGGCATCCCCACACACCACCGGCTGGTTTTTGTTGCCATCGGCACATTTTGTTGCCGGTCGGCACTATTTGTTGCCAGTCGGCACTCATTTTTGTCAAAATGGCATCTTTGGCCGGCCGACTACTGTGCATCTGCTTTTGTAGATATTTTATCACAGCTGTCTTGCTTTTGGCTCCCCTCCATACACGTGTATGGAGGGATCTCTCTCTTGGAAGCTTGTCTTGTAAGCTTTACAAGACAATAAGCTCTATAAGAGAGAGCCTTGTCTCTTGGCTTTAGGGTTAGAGACTTGAGAGACTTAGGATATTTTTAGACAGCCATTTTTAGGGTTTTGAGTTCTAGGGTTAGAAACCATACACTTTCTATCTCTATTTCTCCCTCTTGTG